CGCTGCTGCTAACTTGAGCCAAGCTATGCTAACGCTTTGTCCAAAACACAGCAGCGCTCAGCTGAAGCAAGCTACTTAGCCAGCATGCTAATATGTGGCTAGCACGTCTGCTCGGTTATCACTATGCATTTTGCCCGTGTAGCTAACATGTTGCACCTCAGCCCAGCATTGCACGGCCACATTTAGCATGTGAGTTGGCTAACAACAGAGCCCACATCTTACTTTCTTAGCTAGTTTGCTTGCTCGCTGAGAAAGGGGGCGATGGCAGGTGATCCAGCCTCCGAAACGACGTGTCCCATCAATGTATCCTTGCTTGTAGCCTCCTCTAACCGACCACCATCACCGGACACTAACTGGCGTTGACTGAGTCCCAATCGAGCGCAGTTTCCTCCCGACAGATCCCGACAATGTCCCCGACAGGGCTTCTGTTAGCTTGCTAACGCTAACCAGCTAACACAACGTTTCCAGCTGCTGCATATGGGAATCCGTTACCTCCGATAACTTCCGAATGTCCTGTCGGTTAACGGCGACGTTCGCCTGAGCACGAGTCACCGTTACACGCGTGGAACAACAACGTTAACGACACAGCAACGGAAAACATTCCTTGGCGCGTGTATGTGCCTTGAAATGCATTGTTATGGCGAGTCCACGCCCCCTCTTCTAGAGCAACCAATCAGCGCGCAGCAAACACAGACAGCGGACACCCAGACAGTCTACTTTGCTATCAAACAGTTCCTGTTGTTATTTATTCAGTTTATAAACAACAAGGTCCCTGGAAGTCAACTCCGCTTGTCATGTCATTACTCTATACACTCAATCATTTGACAAAATAGGATGCATCATTATAGATTATGGCATACAGATAGTATAGAAAGCTCCAACTGAAACAAATATGTTAAAGTACTGTTACAAATTTGTATAATGATACTAATTATAGTACTAATAAAGTTAAAGTAGCACTGACAGGACTCTGTACAATGAGACAGACACCCAGAAAGTCACTGCGCTCGGCTCAGATGCATCAAAACGAGCAGTTCCTGTTTTTTTTGGTTTTTTTAGTCCACTAAAAGTCAACTAAACTTTCAGAAAAAAAGTTTTTCTGTACCAATTAATTTAACAAAATATCATTCAGTGTTATAGAAGAAACTATCCAGCAGTAATTAAAAGGATAGCTCCACCTAAAATACATAAAAGTATATAATGCTGTTAAATTACTGCTTGCAAATAATAATACAATTATATTAAATTACACTGACAGGATACTGTGAGATGAGTACTTTAACCTCTGAAAATTAAAGTGCATTTAGCTGTCAATGCTTCTATACTGTTTATTTAAATTTTGAATGCAGTGCTTGTGATGTCGTAGTTCTATACTGTGGTAAACGATGTAAACAGTTATTCCTCCACTGACTGCCATGCAGTTGTAAGCACAATATCATCTCATCAGAAAAGGTGTCCAAATACAGAATAATTAGCAATCCAAGCATCATCAATCTGAAAAAGTTTGGGAATTTTAGATTAAAGCAAATCTCTTGTGACAAACATTCAAACACATAAATGTAAAGTTTCTTTAGATTAAACATACCCTAAGAAATAATTAGTATTTGGTACTGTGTTATTGTAGGTCTGTATATTGTGGCCTACTGTCTGTTTTGACTGTCACTGGAGGCCACTGTGTCCTACTGTAGACTACCCGGCTGATTATGTAATATTGCACTTGCTTGTTCAACAAACGAGCAACAAACATTTCCTCTTAGTGTCTTTGCTGGACAGTGAATGCAAGCTGCAAAAATATGTGAAGTGATGCTGGACTTGAGCAATATCGAGCTTTAATTGGCCTTTAAATGCTTCACATCGGGCCCGGTGTCCAGTAAGTGTTCATAAATAATGTCTTCGTGTGTTTTCACTGCACTGGGACACAGCCAGTCTTCTGAGCTGAGCCTACAGAAAACAAGCACCATAGTGAAGAGCTGGGCGAGGAGAGCAGCAGGGTTTGCCACAGAGACTAAATGTAAACATTACAACATATCGCACTCGGTGGCAGCAAAACAAGGAGGGGCTGGAGGTTGAGCAGGATGACAGCTATAATAACCCGTTTAACCACATCCCGGTAAACACGCACCGCAAACCTCCACAAAACAACATCCAGGCCAGAAGCAGCGATCAGAAAGAGGAGCAGAGCTGTTACCTGATTGTTAATATGCAAACATATGATCACTGATAGCTCCCTCGTAGTGTTCACATCTCGTCAGGCTAAGTGCGGCATCCCACGGTCAGCTGTTCCACTGTGGAACATTCCGTGGGTTTCACCACTGCTGCGAAAAAAGGTGCGGAACATCACACCGTCGTAATACCACGGCACTCTGTGTGGACACTGCGTGGGTTTGAGGCTTTGCGACCCCGAGGCTACTCCCGCAATCACCGCCTTTTCACTATAGGAGTCGATAATCCAGCCCCACGGGTCTTTAGAGTTTCTGCGGTTCCCCGTTACACCCCCGTGTCTCTTATTTCCAGAGCTGGGAGCAGGCGCCGTGCTGCCATTTTTACCGTAATACACAGATCAGAGCAGCTCAGTGTGACTGCAAAACTTGTTGATAAAAAAACCCCAAACTAATTTGTACCCATGGGGAGAAGCATACTAAGACCCTTTATTACTAAATAAGCATTATTAGCGTTAAATATTTTGTAACAATGAATTACAGTTGTACGAGAAATGTAGTTGTGGAATAAAAACTGTAGCTATTGGTTAAGTCCAGTGTGTAAGATTTAGGTGAAAGGGAACTATTGGCAGACATTTAATGTAGAATAATCCTCATGATGTTTTCACTAGTTCGTTTCATCTAAATTGTATGAATTGTAGTTTTCTTAACCCAATAAAAGGCCCTTTATATATAAATACTTTATATTTACATCGAGGGGACCCTCTCTACGGAGGCCGCCATGTTTTTTACATTAGTCCAGACTGGACAAACTAAACACCTTTTGAGTTTTTATGACAATTAAAGGCTACCAAAGTTTTTTTTTTCATGTTTGGAAGGAGAGGATGAGGTGAGGGGTGTTCAGCTGCAACATGCAATTTCAACACTAGATATCATAACATTCTACACACTGCACCTTTAATAAGGCCTTGTTCATACCTTGGGTGATCTGTTAACAACATGTCCAATCAAATGTATTTATATAGCACAGTATCACAACAAACAGTTGTCTCAGGGTGCTGCACAAAAGTCCAAAAGTTCCACACCGAGCAAGCATGAGCAACAGCGGGGAGGAAAAACTCCCAGGTGGAAGAAACCTCTGGCAGAACCGGGCTCGGTGTGGACGGCCTATGCCAGGACCGGTTCAGATAAGTTTTAGCTTTTACACGAGCTAAAACTGATCTGAATCATCAGACTGCATCAAATTGTCCAATCAGGGCAGAAGAAGACCTACCCCTACTGGGTGGACTGAAGTGGGAGGAGAGCGACTGCCCAGCAGCTTATGCTGTTGTTCCTCCATTAATGTAGAATTCAGAAGCCAAGCATGATCTAAAGCTCTGTTCCTACTATCTGTATGTGCTGTGCTTGTTTTGACTAGTTCTTAGACATAAGAAAATGTGTACACACAGAGAAAGGCCAAAAATACATATGGCTTCAATCCAAAGTAAATTAATTGAAGGTACACTAGTTCTTCCACAAGGAATGATATGAACAACACATTTGTGAACTGGAATGGAAAATATCCAGAGTTCAACAGAATAGAAAGAAAATATGTTTAAAAATACATTATTAGTTATTCATTTACTTTGGTACATTTTTATTACATTATTTAAATCTGTCATTCTCTTTACAAAATCATGTTTGTTGTGTTGCAAGCTTGTGTGCGTTGTTACTTCTTATCATCTTGTCTATGTAAGACAACACTCTCGATTTTTAATTTTATTTTGTGCACTAAAAATGTTTTGGCATTGTTTTATTATGTTCCACCCAATGAAGAGTCAGCAGTGCTGGTGTTGTTTTCATGTGGTAAGTTATCAACCAAAGTCTAATTGGATAAGATTAACCACCAGATTCCTGGGATATCAGTCATCAATATACAGAGAGAGTCGACTTGGAATGATCTTTTTATTATTGTGCTAATTAGCTAATGCTAGTTATGATACCATGCCGAACTAAGATAGTAACCATGGTAATTATCACATAAGCATTGTCTTTGTGAGCATGTTAGCATGCTTGTGTTACCATTTTGTTGTCCCTGATTATTCAGTGTACATGTACATGTAAGGTTTTTAAACTGTGTTTTGTCAAGTCTTAAAATAAATTCACTGGTCAGCATAAAGAGGGGGAGTTTTGTGCTTTTGCTTTGAGGTAAATGTCTGATTATGAATGAAGCAAATGGGTAGATTATCATTTGTGTAAGGCCCTTTAATTAGAAGGACAGGCAGGGGATGGGGGGTGGGGGCTGGGGGGGCTCATTAGGGAGGTGCACAAATCTGAACAAGGCATCTGTCCAATGAAGGCTGCTGATGAGACACACTTTACAAAGGCCGCATGGACACACCGTTTTTTCTCAATCAAGGCAAATAGACTGTTGTTACCATGGACAACAGAGGCAGCCATTCAGAGAGGTCAGTTCACATGCTCCTGGGGCTCTGGTATGGACACTGGTGACCCAGTATGGCACGATGCCCTGTATCCCCAGTGGGCTGACCAGACAATGATGGGGAGAGGAGCTTGCTGCACTGGACCTATCTGTTAGTACTATAAACAGTCATAATGTGTCCATGTGTGAAGGCTTACAACAGGTGGATATTTTGCAAAGTTGATCAATTTATCTTTTTGCCCTTAGTAAGATACTTTTGCGAATTTTGTTCAGCAAGCAAACACAAGGAAGAGGTTAAGTGTCCGGATTATTGCCAGCGCGTACGTGTATGTGTTAATCATTTATATTTACGACAGTGTGACGGTAATCACTGGGATGAACAAGAGCCAAAGGTCTCATTTAGACATCAGTGAAAGAGAAGCTTCTCTCTGAATGTCGTCTGGTAAGTCTGACTGCTTCATTTTATATTTGATTCATGCTTTTTGAGTGTCATTGTTGCTTTGGAGTCAGCACATTTCTGTGAGGATCACAAAGAGAACTAATGTAAAATGTGCTGATATTGGATAGACAGGGAATATATGTGTGACTTAAATCTGGTGTGGTAAAAACTGTATTACATAGGATATAGTATATACTATAGAAGCGCAGAGCTACCAAAGTGATTA